TGCTATCTGGAATGCAGCCTTTGCCTCCTTTCATGCTCTGTTGGCTGAAAGGTGGAGAATATTTCTACTAGATTGCTAGATTTTCCCCCAGTATGCTTTCTGAGGTGTGATCAAAGTCATCTTACAGATTTAATTCTTACGTGCTTCAGCTGCACGAACTGCACCGGGAGCTCAACAGCCGGGGACTTCTGAGCTGCTTGGGGTCATCGCTGCGACCGTGCGATCCAAAGCCTGATGCTGACCTTGGGGTCAAAAGATTTGCAAACATAAGAGCCAGCTTTTGTTCTCGTAGAACATAACTTGAAAAAAATCCTTATGTTAAAAAGGAAGAGTCAAGGATTATTTTTTTAAGTGGGAAAGGGAAATGTTTTACCCATTGAAGTCAGCTCTTACGGAGTTTGCAGAGTAAGGCGTCTGAAATCAATGGCAGTGGGGTAGAAGTAATTTTTAAATAGTGTGCTGATTTGGGCCTGTTTCTTCAAAAGTAGGCGAGATGAGCTTTCAGAACTGCTTTAGCGGGGGGGAAGGTGCCCGTGGGGGAGCGCTCGGTCTCTCGGCACTGGCAGACCCCGTTGGCTCTGGTTCCGAGAGGAGAGGCTCAGCCGTCAGTGAGCAGCCCGAGGGGGTGTCAGAACGCGCCTTAAACCCGGCGCCGTAGGACAAGTAAGGAGAGGAGCCGTCCTGCAGGCGAGCCTGGGACAGGGGAACAGGGAGCCCCAGGAACCCCGAGAGCGGCTGCGGCGCGTTTCTGAGCGCCTGCTCCCGTGGCGCCGGGCGGCTGCGCAATTGCTGCCCGCCCGTGCGGGGGCTGCGCGTCGCGAGACACGGGCAGTGGCTCGAAAGAACACTGCGATAACCGGAGGAGGTAACTTTTAAACAAGAAGCACTGCAGTGTCGAAAGGAGAACGCAGGGGAACGCGTTTCCCCCCGCGCTGACAGCAGGCCCGGCCCCCGGTGTCGGCAGGACCGCTCGTGGGGGTTCAGAGGCGAGCGGAGGGGGGAGCGGCGTTTGCCGCGCGGTGCAGAGGAACCGTCTCGATGGCAAAGCGCACGGTGCTCGCAGCAGGCTCAACGCAGAGAGACTCGTTAATGGGACCTCGATCCGTTGCCGAACAAAATGCAGGATGACCAAGGGATGCTGTTAGCTGCTTACACCACTTTTAAATTGGTTAAATTGTTAATTTTTTTGCCTAAAATGGAGGCATTCTCCGAACTTTGTGGGGAGAGTCATCAGGATGGTCTCTAGGGACTTTCTTCCATTTTAAATTCACTCCTATGCACTTTTAATCTGTATTATCCTTTGAAAGTATCTATGCCCTCGCAGTCTCTCCGGTCACTGTTCCTGGGGATTCTCTCCCCGTGGCTGGATTGCACGGTGGAGGAGTTTGGGGTCTGTGCGGGAGCTTCTCGGGGTCAGGCACCCTGCCAGACCAAAGTCGCGCTGGGAAATTAAAAAAGGGTGCTGTCTGGCGTCAGGCGTGTTGGCGACCGGCTCTCGGGCTGTCCAGCGGTGGGTTTGCTGGGTGACGTGGTAGTGAGCCAGTGACTGGGGACGGTGCTGGCTGGGGGTCTGGGGGTGGCTGGGGGCCCGGGGGTGCCCCCGC